CTTGGCAAATATTATAGACAGTTCTACCAACCTAGGAAAAAAAAATTACCTGCCTTCCTAATGCCCGGGAGTTTTAAATGACAATTTCACCTTACTTTTTGATCACAGTAGTATACATATATATATATACATATATATATACATATATATATATATACCCCATATATACATATATATATATACATATATAATATATACATATATAATATACCTATATATAATATATACCCTGTATATATATATTGTGACATGGTGTTCGCGCTGCTCCTCCCTTACCACAAAAGAAAAATTATTCTTTGAGGGAGTCCCGAAGTGCGTGCCGATATTGAGCGCCAAGATCTTTCGGGGTTTGCACACCGTATAGCGTTTTAATTTAGTCGCTTATTTTTTTGTATTTTTTTTATTTATGTAAAATATGGCGCCTCACCCACCGATGACTCACTCCGTCGAGGGACATCGAGGGAGACAAGCCGATATAACATCTATAGCGGGACTCGGCCGAGAGGCAAGCAAAAAACGGAGGGGACCGAGAACGTACTCCAGGAAGCGCCAGTGGCAGCACACGGAGGCTACGGCCCTGACGTAGCGGGCCAGATCAATCCCGTACGCCAGGCGGAGCGCACGCAACACGCGAGCGGCAATGTCACCAGGCGGCGTTCGGCAAGTGGAATCAGCGACGAATAAAACTGCTATTTGGGACTAACTACCACCTCGGAGAGGCCTAGGGGTCGGCCGCTGACATCCTAGGATGTCCATCTCCAGCCTGCCTGACAGGACGCGCTTGGAAAACGCGATGCGGCACAGAAACCCTGCAGAGAAGCATTATATTCATAATTTGCGGTTCGGGCCATCGTAGCTCTCGCGACCGTGAGCGCCGCGCTTGATACAACGCCGCGCCTTGATTGCTGGCGCGACAGACCCCACGCGATTCTAGCGCGCTCCGGTGTATCGACCCCAAATCGATTGCGATCCTCGCTTTCTTGGTCGCCATCCCTTGTGAGAAGCGGACGAAACTCTCGGAAAATTACCGTCTTTGATAGATATATCCGAGAAAGAAACATTATGTCACAGGACGACGATATCCGGTGAGGTGCCTCGTTTCTTCTAGCCACGAATCTGCGTGCCGAGTTCCGTGTCGAGGCTAGTCGCCAACTTTCGCGTTGTGTACCTGGCAAAGACGAATCCTTCGCTATATTGTTTCAGTTGTGAGCAGCTAGAATCGGATTCACGAGGCTTCGTGGCATTTCTTTGTAGGTTTAAGTGCGTTCAAGTTTCGCGAGTATTCTATTGAATACTGTGACAAGCCCTGGAGTTACTCGGGAAGCGCCAAGTAGCATTTCGTATAGTGTGAGAATCGTTGCTTGTGTAAATTTACTTGCCGCGCTAGTTGTTGATGTATTGCATGTATTGTTTTTGCGTAAAGAAAGGTGGCTTACTTCATGCAATGGTTTTCTTAATATTATAAAAACCAGAAATCCAACAAAAAAATGTTTCAGACACAAATTGTGCGTTGTTTTACGTATAATACAATTCCAAAATAAGACATATAAGTTTACAATAAACATATAAAATACAAAAAAACAAATTAACCTTGAAATGACTTCGAAAACGCTTACGCATTAAAAAAATAATAGTTATTTGAATCCTCACTCTCAAAATACTAAAAACTATGTGTCAGCTTTTTTTTAAATCAGTTGTCTACGAGATTTTTTGCTGTGTCAACTTAAATGGGATATATAGTGCTTGTATAGTGCTTTTGAAGATAAATATACAGAGTGTCCCATAATTGCCGTCTCATCGCTTGTAGGCAAAAAGAAAGGGTTATTCTAAGACGAAAAGTCCTATACCACTTTGGAAGATTCGCAATAATTAACNAGATATGAATTAATAAAGATCCGCTGCATCCAGAGTAAGAGGAGCCGTAAGAACAGTCTAGTCTTTTGCGCGGACGCGCCGTTGCGGTGAAATGGGAGGAGCTAATAGAATAGTATGTACACAGCGCATCATTGAATCGCAAAATAGGCGCGGGAATCGAAGGGCAAGCAGGTCGTACGATTCGTACGGCGCTTGTCGGCGAGCAACCGCCCCGCTTGCCCTCCGATCTCGCGCCTATTCCGCGATTCAATGACGCGCTGTGTACACAGCGCGTCAAAAGTTTGCGAAGTAGGCGCGAAGATCTAGGGGCAAAAAGAACGGTTTTTCTTAGGGATAAATAACGCGACACAGATGTGGATAAACGATTGCTACTAGTTAGCTGGTACAGTGCTCGTTGATGCTATTTATTCTTAAGAGAAACCGCTTCTTTTGCCTCTAGACCTTCGCGTCTACTCCGCGAATTTTTGACGCGCTGTGTACACCTATACATAAACAGCATATAAGCTGCGTTCGGGGATCGCGCTATCCGCAAGAAAGACTAGGCTGTCCTTACGCTCCTCTTACGCTGGATACACGCTGATTAGCAGATATTTATTAATTCATATCTCGTTAATTATTGCGAATCTTCCAAAGTGGTATGGGACTTTTCGTCTTAGAATAACCCTTTTTTCTTGCCTACGAGCGGTGAGACGGCAATTATGGAACACCCTGTATAATGCTCTTTTGAAGTCTTTATTTCATGCACAATAATAGCATATGATAGCATACTGTCATCACGAGCATCAATTTTTCTCGTTGACTAGATATTCTAGATATTCTAACTAGATATCCTAATCATATAGTTGTTTCATGTTACTCTTTTATGTTTTATTATTTTTAGATAATGGTTGAAGTGCGTGTAGCTTAAGTACATGTAGCTAAGAAACAATTTTACACAATATAAAATATTATGTATGATGAAGTTATACTAGAAAGTAAAACCTGTATGCTCAGTTTCAACACTCTAAGAGATTTATCTAGAAATCTTATTATAATTTATCTGTTTTTGCAGAAGCACTTTTATTTGGTGCAGTAAATATAGAGATATTTTAATCCTTCAAAACATCGGTTTAGGACTCGTCGATATATTCTCTTAAGGTAGTTCTCGTGTAAAACTTTTCACTTTTCTATAAAATGTAATAAAACTTAAATAAAATGTTAACAATAATGATTTACAATTACTGTCGCAATTTAAAAAAAAGTGACCGATTGTGAAGCGATATATTCACAATCAAAGTAGGCGTATTTAACATACATTTCCTATACCAAATACAACCAAACAGTCTATTTTTGTTTTTAATTTTAAAACGACTCCATAAATTTTTACAAAAAAAAACAACTATTATTTAGAGAAACATTTTACAAATATTTAAAACTAGAAAAATTACTATCGTTAAGCTTATAATTTTTTGTACTAACATTAGATTTCACTTTTGAATAGGGCTGTCGCATGGGAACTACCTTAAACTGTGAATATTTAGTTTTAATGATTGATAGTATATATTCTTAGATGTCTATGTCATTATTAACAATTAATCATTCAATATTTCAATTTTCAAAACATACATTTTTTCTTTAAATTAAAACTTTTAAAATTTTTACCTCTTTCTCTATATATTTTTCTGATATAAAAACTGCAGTTTTGAACTTAAAAGAAATAAAATAAAATTTACACTTCACATATTGCGTTGAAAATGGAACAAATAAAAATAAAGTAAAATCATATAATAAATATCTTTCCTTTAATAGTTATTAATAAAATTCTGAAAATTATGTTTACCTGGGCAAGGACATGCTCTGCAGGGTATATCCACCCCAATCCGCGGATCGCCGTAGAAATCATCGATGCATCGGTCGCAAGTGTGTCCGGTAGTAAAATCTCGGCAATTAATGCATGCTCCAGTGTTCGAGTCGCAACTGTCAGCATGTCCGTTGCATTCACAGCGCTGACAATGTGGGAAATTCCAAAAGCCGGGTTCACATTGGCCGCAGGTTCTACCGTAAGTATTTGAACGGCACTTACATCGGCCAGTTTCGACGTCGCAGAAATTATCAAGTGCACCAACACTATTACAGTCACAGGGAATGCATCCTTCTGGACCAAATCCATACGTTCCTGGCGCGCAACGATCGCAACGTCTGCCGACCACGTTTGACTTACACGGACACATTCCACCATAATTTTCGCACAGAAGACTGAGAGAGCCCGTCGGATTGCAATCACAAGCTAAAATATAATTTATAGTATATGAATATAAGGACATGAAGAGCCGTTCGCGGGATGTTGTGCGTGAATGTGCTTAAATATATATATATGTATACACATATATATTTCGAAATAATTTTTTTCTCCCATATAGGATGCTGGATTTGCATCACATATATATAAAGGACCCCGTATACCCCCCTAACTAATTTTAAAAAATTGCAAAAAAAACTCCTCAGCCAGGAGTCGAATCTGGAATCTCTGGCTTTCCGAGCCGTCGCCTTCCCTGTTAGGCTACCGAGGCACTTGGAATTTGTCTTGCAATACTTCGTATATCTATCAAATATGTTCAGATCTTTTTTAATACCGTTTCTTCCTCCAGCGTAAATTCTAATATATAATTAGTGATAAATAGAGATTACTCTCAGGCTCAATAAGTCTTTTATAGTATAAATATAAGGACATGAAGAGCCGTTGGCAGGATGTTGTGCGTGAATATGCTTAAATATACAGGGTGTCCCAGAATTGCCGTACAATCTCTCGTAGGCAGGTAGAAGGAGTAAAACTGAGTCGAAAAGTCCTGAACCATTTTTTTCTATTATTTATAATAAAAGAGTAATTATTGAGTAAAT